GACCGAGCTAATGAAGACACCTGACCAAGTCATGATCTAATTGGTCAGTGGTCACTGTTTGATTAACAGGCAGGAAGGGTCCATTGAAATACCATATAAACTTGTGCAAAAGGTCCAAAAAGATCTTGGCAAACAGTGGGTTAACCCTTTAGTCACTGTGGCGCCCGAAACCGCCCCGCCTATTACTTACTGTAATGCATGAAACCGCCCGAGCACTCCAAGGATTCTTCAGTGAATAAACACAATGTAATTCACTAATGGGTTAATTAATACTGTACCTGTAGTCTGTCATGCAGTAATCAGGCTAAAGCCCTAAAAAGTACTGCAAAATTGGTTCTGGAGTTTGATGGTTCACTTTCAGATGCCCTATTTGCATGTTTTATCATGAAGGTGACCTTTTAGGAAGGGATTCAAGTTTTATGTATTATGTATATGTGTATATATACCATGAGGTTGCCTTTTAATTTTTTAGATTTGAAAGTCAGTATTTAAAGATGTACTGTCTGTGCTCTTCAACAAATTCATATTTGTTTTTTAATTCTAATGAATTTACAACTAACACTGTGATTTTGTCCCCTATTTTTGAGATCTTTGTGGCACACAAAACAGATAAGCAGACAAGTTACAAGTTGGTTTCAATGGAGAGGGGGAACAGACTGAGACTACCCTGCAAGAACAGAATTATTGTCAGCCGCAAAAAAAATGTTTGCTAAAAAATAGCAATTGAAAGAAAAGATCAATTTTTGGGTGGAACTAAAAATAGTACAGACAATACATTTTAAACAATTTCCTAGTTGTACTTGACACAGTTTCACATTATTCCATTTCTCATGCTTTTGGGATAGCATGCGAGATAGAGAAATAACATCCAGTCAAATATATAATCCACCAACTATACATTACTCTGTTAAGAACTTCTGTCTATAATCTTTGTAAATTGCTTGGTTCACATGTAAATATTTTAAAGAAAACCTTTTTAATAAGAAATGCTATCATGGAAAATTCACAAGTTGTCGAAGTGGTATTTTGGGTTTGTAGTATTCATACATCTATTAATTCCTTGGTCAAATGGTTGGGATTTCGTTTCTTTCAACTTTTCTATTAAAGCTATAGTCCATCATTTGCAGCCATCCGCATGGGCGTCGCCAGGATTTTTTCTAGAGGGGGCAAAAAAATTTTGCCAAAAAAATGCTTGTATTTCTCGACACATTTTCGATTTATCAGTTTTAGAGGGGAGCAGGGACATTTTGCCCCCCCCCCCCCAACTCATTAAATTTACACCACTTTGTCTTCGCGCCTCTTTTTCTGTTTTCTTTTTTCTTTTCTTTTTTTTCTTTTTTTCTTTTTTTTTTTTTTTTTTTTTTTTTTGCTTTTCCAGGGGGGGGGGGCAAGTGCCCCCCCTTGCCCCCCCTCGCGACGCCCATGGCCATCCGAAAAGTAACACGCGTAATTATTGCTGAAAAACATACTTGGTTGAAAGATAGTAAGTGGACTAAACTCCCTGTGAAATTATTCTTTCTGGCAAGCTGTCATTTTTAAGTAATCAACGAAAGAAGACCTTTCCAACGGTGCGTCTTAAGACACCGTAGGAAAATTTAAATTAGTAGTTTGTTTTCTTATTCGGCAAAGCGCAAGCAATGGCACGACGCACACGTGCGCGCAGTTGCTATAATTCGTCGGATCGGCGTGCAACATCGCGTAGCTGCAATCGGCTCGGTGAGAACGCATCTCGGACGCTGAATTGCTGTTTTTCTCGGAATATACAGCTGAAGCTGAGCTGAAACTTCATCAGGTTAGTTGTTCAGTATCCTTCATTAGATTTTGAACACTTTTGTTGCTTCAAACGAACAAAATGTACAAATTACAAATGATGGACTATATCTTTAAAAGGAATCCTACAGGGCGAGTCAAAAACAAGGGCGGATCCAGAACACAATTTTGGGGGGGGGGCAAAAAAAAAATCGTCCCCCAAAAAAGTGGGTCTAAAAAAATTACGGCGTGGGGTTCGGGGCCCCGAAAAATTTTCGGATTCTAGATGCTCTGTGGTGCGATCTGAGGCAATTTCTGACCACTTTAACCAATTTATTTTGAGGAAAAGATGGTGGTGTACTCATTGCCTGCCTTTATTGCGATGTCACTTTAAAAAAAAAAATTGGTTTCGTTTTGGGGGGGGCCATGGCCCCCTTTGCCCCCCCCCCCCCCGGATCCGCCCTTGGTCAAAAAAAAAGCGGAACCCAAACCCCAAAAATTATATTTCATATTTAAAAAAATATGTAGCACCAAACATCATAATGACTGGAAAGCCAATTTCATAAGCTACTTTTAGATGAAATAATTACTGAAATTGCTCAATGTGATTTCGAGAATCGCCGTCACAATTGTCTTCAAACATCACCAGCGATAAATCTCGGTTTAAAAGTTAAAAAAATATTCAACAAAGTCCTTTTGAAGGCCCGTCTTTTAAAAGAAGTGGATTCTATAAATCATATTGTTTGCCTAACCAGGGTTGTTAATAAAGATATTGTGTACTACAGTTGTTGACAGCTGTTGAAACAAGTATTCTTTGTCATTTTCTTTGTTGTTCCAAACAATCAGAATACACAATAAACTGCTTTTTTATGAACGGAACAGGTTTTAGGGTCATTACGTTTAAATGCCAATATTCTTTGAACGGAATGAGCAATTTCAGTATTTTTTTCATCTAAAAGTAGCATATGAAATTGGCTTTCCAGTCATTATGTTTGGTGCTACATATTTTTTTAAATATGAAATATAATTTTGGGGGTTTGGGTTCCGCTTTTTTTGACTCGCCCCGTATTTTGATTATATAAGAGGGAGTTTAACTCGGCCTCCGAGACGATGTGTGCTCATGAAAGGATCCGAGACCGCGGTCTCCCACGGCGCCAAAATCGCTCCACGTCCGTGGAAAAATGCGGAGGGTCGTCCTGATTTTCCCGTACGGACCGGCGATCCGTTTCGTCGATTTTTCGTGACTGCGTTTTTGCGCAGGAATTTGCCGTCGTGTGCGCTTTCACGTTGACTGCCTGGCCGCCCCCTGTGCTGGCTTTTCTGCGTGTCTAGACTGTGCGAGGTCAGCGGCTTCGACTTAGGGGTTGCGTTTACGTGTTCTACTTGGCTGTTCTGCAAAAGTGTTCACCAAACGGTAGCATGGGGTGACCTTGGCAAAATATTTTTTCTCCATGGTGCGTGGCCATCAAGTGTCCCTACTGTTTCCTATGCTTTGCTTGCTGCCCCTGCGCCGAGTGCAACGAATACTCAGAAGGACTACACATTAGTACGCCTTGCGCGGTCTGACCAATTGAAAGTCTACACTGCGTAGTACTTCCGGGCTATGCGTAAAACCGTCGATGGCAACGCGTACTGCAGCCTGCTCAACACCCTGGAAACGAGGTTGGGTCTACAGTGCTTGCTATTTGAAGCACAAGCGTGTGACGTGATATAGTGATCTGTTGCTTCCAGCATGTGCGTGTTTATAGCTTCATGCTTCCACCACCAAGGCTGAGCGTTGTGAGTTCGCTGCCCGCCACGTATAATTCAGTGTCGCGTTGATAATTTCGGGGGCCTGTTTGGGATCAACGAAGGATCGATGCATTGCTTCAACAATTAATATCGCGATCTTAAACGCAGTCACAAAAAAATCGACGAAAAAGTGTCCGACCCGGCGGAAGACACCCTCCACATTTTTCCATGGACGTGGAGCCATTTTGGCGTCGCGGGAGACCGCGGTCTCGGATCCTTTCAGGAGCAAACATTTCTCAGACTAGAAAAGGTCGAGTAAAACTTGCTCTTATACAGATGGTTGAACCAACTTGAATAAAAGTTGAATCGAATTTTTCCTCGCAGACGGTCTCGCAAATTGTAAGAAATTCAAGTTTACGTTTGTTGAAGAGTCCAATACTGAAAGTTAATTATGACCTTCCTCCATGATTCAGACTTTGTAATTTTATGGTAACACTCAACATTTTCATTTCAAATGACACCTTCACGTTTTATTGCATTATGATTTATTGTCAAAACTGTACAATCAGGCTTCGCCTGTGTACTACGGTAACCTTTTCACTACGTTTTCCAAATGCGACTGCCTCACAAAATGCCAATTTAACAGACCAACGGGAACATTTACAGACAGTTGCCATGGTACATAATTATCATGTGCATAAATCGACGGGGGACGGGGACCCCCCCCCCCTCTCCCCACACACATTTTTCAAGCGGGGGACATTGTTTGGCCCCCCTTCCCCCACTTTTTCTTCCCCGAATAAAAATTGTAGCCTACAATAATGATCTACTGCTCAGAATACATGTAGCTGATTCAATTACTCCAAACTCAAAACTTTAAAAGATGATTTTCGCTGAAATTGATTTTAGTGGTCAGAATTTGCCTCAGATCACACCACAGAAATTGCTTTTCTATAACTGCATGTCCTCAACTATATCCCCCATTTACATTTAACTCCCCACATTTTTCATCCCCAACACAACGCCCTACCCGATCTATGATCGGGTAAATCAGCTTGTAAATCCTAATGCCCGGGTCATACTCCACGCAAAAGCAAATGGGGATGCGAATTTGTGACGTCAGGGCAAATTTTCACGCCCTAAAATTCGCATGAAATTGAACCGGGCTTCACTTCCTCGGATGCAACCTCAACCCTGCAAATCTTCCAACTGCCTCCATGTATCAATTGCAAAGCCTCAATCCTGCAAAATCTTTCAGCAATCACTGTCAACTCAATGTGTTGAGGTAGAGCCGGTGACATCCTGGAGCAGTGCAGAGGATTTCAAGCATAATTTAGGCCTAAATTTATGCATGGCTCAGCATATACAACAAGGTCCGGCCCAATGTCTTGACACAGTGCATCCTCCAAAATAGGATTTTGGAGGAATTGGGAAGGTTACGCTTAATTAATATATTGTGTTTAACAAGATTCATTTTCAAGCCAAGACACTTCACTTATTAAAGAAAAACATCAAAAATGTAAGTTTTTGAACAAACGAAAACATTTTATTATGTATCGAACACTGCACACGTAAATAAAGTTAAGTGGTTAAAAGTGTATTGTGTTCAGGATGGATCAAATAAGGTTTAATCTCTGCAGTCAGTTGCCCTAAAATCAAAGCATGCATCCTTTCTCAAAAAAATGAAAGATTTGGTAAGAGAATTGTCATTTTGTTATGAAGTGGTGGCAATGAATTTCATCTTCAAGCTAACTTGAATCCTTGTTCCTGATCAATCCATGACAACCCCCCATGCTACATTATCCCATATACCACGGTCCACAGCTTATCATGCTATTCCAAGATGTGCATACCATTCTTGCTGCACGCACGTGTAGTATAACCGCTGAAAAGCATGCTCGTGTAAAGCGTGCTCGTTCCAACTTTACAGTGCGTCAAGTTTGCTTGAAGATAAATTCGCTTTTCCACTCTCGCTCGTGGAACACGGAAAATGTAGCGCGTCTGTGTCCCACACACTGACGCACTACTTTATTCTGTGCTCCATTCGCGGGATAAGATTCCAGTGCTAAATGCATGTACAAAACAGTTAAATATGTTTTGGGGTGACAGGTGTATTACAAGATGCAAAAACACGGTTTTATACTCGGAGTTTGAAATGAACTTTGCATCCCTACATAGTTTAATATCCACACGAGTAGCATCTCACATTCAAGGTACACTGTAGTAGGCCAAACAAAAACCCAGTTTACATTTGTAAATTTTGTTTCATATTCTTTAATGTCATCACAGTTGATTTCATAGTGATTTTAGAGGATATGAAAGCACAAGTCTTTTTCCAAATCTATTCAAATTAATTACGAAAAATGACGTGTTCTAAAATCTGTTCTAAACATTCAACACATTACAACCAGGATGCCCTATATAAAATCCGCTCATATCTGGACAGTAATTGTACCTAAATTGAAACTTATTCTTCCTGGGATTCTCCTGTCATCACTTCTTCCAGTCGTTCTTTTCGTAGTCCCATTTGGACGCAAGGCCAGTGACTGGGTTATTGCGGATGGCGATGTTGTACTTCATCTGGTCCTGCTGCCACTCTTTAGTCATCGTTATCGGCAGGGGCGGGGCAACTGCAGGGGGAGGGGAAACAGTAAAAAGGACCTGTTGATTGCACAGTACATAGCCCGACAGAAACACGCCACCAACATGATTGTGATCGATCAACGGCTGACTGTGCCAGTCAAGCTCTTAAGAACAACGTTATAGCCCACAAGATTATTGTCACCAAGTTTGGTAGAGATTGAAGTCTGACTTCTCATATGACAGCACTTTTCAGTTAAACAAACCAAAAACAACAATGACCTCATTTTGATCTCTAGATGACCTTCAATGTCTCAAGTGATCTGAATTACCCCCCCCCCCCCCCCCTACCCAAAGATTATTGTCACCAAGTTCGGTTGAGATAGAAGTCTGACTTTATATGACAGAACTAAACAGTTAACCTAACCAAAATGGAACCTTCATACAAACGGACACACAGAAGCAATACACTATCGCAAGAACCCCCTTTCTTGGCTAAAGCCAGGGGCATAAAAATGAAATGTTAAAAAAGCATTTTTCATACTAAATTTTTTCTGTAGACCATAAAAGAAAATAGCGACGGAGAGCAGTCCAAAGACCCCGCCGATGATGTACTTCCATTCGCCAGTAGGCGCTCGCATCTCGGAGTAACTCTTATCAAAACTCAACCTGTACACTGATAGAATACAAACCAAAAAATAACAAATAAAAAAAAAATAAACTATGCAATTTAACTTGCTGTAATGTGATACTTGCTAACAAAACTGGCCCACGAAGAATTTCAGGTACAAGTAGTCCATTAAGGTAACATTTTGCGAATTTCTTTTGTATGCACATGTAACTTGAAAATGTAACTAAGCAAATTTTAAAGAAAAAAATAAGACAACTTAAGAACTCAACTTTTGCACACAGCCCATACACTTTCATATCGCAACTAAAACGGCAGTTATGCACCCGTCAATTGTACGATGCACCCTCGGACCCCCGGGGCATGTGCGTCAATGTACACAGTACAGTCAAACTTTGGGGTCCAATGACGCACCCTTGCGTCTTGTTCATGACAAACCATTCCCGCATGTTGACGCTATTTATTGACGCACCATTTCTGGATAACAACTCACCAATGACGCACATGTGACGGACATAATGATCGACGAACAAATCTCGATAGCACGGCATGGAACACGCACACTGTGTGGACATGACTTGTGTGGGTACCGTATTGTTATAACGATGTTTAATTTCCATTGTGGCCCATGGGCACCAGTGGGGCTGGGGCGAGCGTCCGAGCGAATGCACCTCCAACTGAGTTGAGAAGAGGAAACCAGCGAACCAATTGTGGCGAAGGCTTTCAATGCGTGCAGCGCAAGCGCTGCCAGGGTGAAATTTCCTAAAATCCAAAGGAATTTTCCATTCTAGTAAGAAAACTCTCACCTCTGTTTACCTACATTTGCATATCAGCGCGCATGTGCACGAACATTCGCTGAAAAGAACCCACTTCATGTCCCTTAAATAGCCCTGTTACACAAAGAAAACTCCTAGTTTTTTGGGGGTTTTTGTTTTGTTTTTTTTAATTGGGAGGGATGGCAAACAGAGGTGAGTGTTTTCTTACTAGAATGGAAAATCCCTTTGGATTTTAGGAATTCCATTACAGAAAACATCTCACCTCTGTTTACCTACATTTGCAGAGTAGCACCGAAAGACTCTAGGGAGGGAAGGGACATGTTAGGCCTGTCTGTTTACGGTTTTGACTGGAACCGGGTACCCTTTCCCGGTCAAGGTCGGGTACCCGGGTACCCGTAAAAGCCCCGTGTCATATGAAAATCAGACTCGTATGAAAGTCAGACTCTTTTTCCCTTTTATTGGTTAAACCCTTTCACGTGACCAGTCCCTCTCCTAATTATCTATGCATAAGCATGCGTAATACCACCAATGAGTCCGTATTTCATAAAACCTAAATTCATGCTACACCGGCACGGCAGTCAGTACTATAAACGGTAAGTGAAAGCATGTGCAAAAATGGTGTCGTGCTTTATCATAGGGACCCGGCGCATGCGTCTTGTACTACGCTAATCGCTAGTCAAGTTGCACTTCTTACGTGCGTTGTGATTGGCCAGTTCCGCAGAAAATATGGGTGCGCGGTTATTTTTTTTTATTATATCATTTGTTGTTAAAGGTATATTTTTTATCTACACTTTGTTCGATCATAGTTATAAATGCCCTTAAAACTTTCTCAGACTTTGAGACATCGTACATCAGAAAAAAATTGGGTGTTTTGGGATGGATTTCGCATACGCGACATTTAACAGAGGGCGCTAGATACCCGGAAGTAAAGGGGATCGCGAAAACCACGTTTGTCAGTTTCGTAGAACTCACTAGAAGAAATCATTTAGTTTGTCAAGGTTTATAGGACCCTGGATCCCAAACCAGCGGTAAGGAGTTTCCCTTGTTTTTCTAAATGCTCTGTATAGTGGACATTTTGTAGTGTGGTAGATTTAGAAGGGAAATTTGGGAGGTAAAATTAGCTGTGTTTTGTCGTGGGATGGGTTTATTGTCAGTTATAAAACTAGTGCATTTATTGTATGCTTGCATCGTGACACTTTGTTATACTCTGGTATAATTTCTGTCCTCATCGGGGCCTCACTTATTCTTTATCTAATTATTCCAACTCATAGGCCGAACATCTGTAGTAAATTTGTAGTGATTTTGGATAGATTTAATTATCATGGGGCTCAGTTCGTAACGTACGTTGCCGTTTTAGGCAACAGCGCCCTCTTGGGGTGGAGTTCCATACTTCCTTGCTTTTGGGAGCTTGTTCCTTGCTCTATGTTATACTAATTTTGGCTGTTCATTATACACTTATTGTTTACTTCTTTTCTGTATTTTGATTATAGTTGACGTGGCATCAGGCAGCTGTAGTGGCATTAAAGGGCAGTTGTATGTCCGTACCCAGAGAGAGAATAAACAAGTATTTTCATTTAAACCGACGTTGCAGTCAATGCTGATGGATAAACCCAGAGTCAATAGCCAAGAGACAATTTACTTGAGATCAACACTGGATAATTAGAGCAAATAATGGAGGCCCAAGTCAATGGTATAGAAACCAAGGCCACAGCTATGGCCACGCGGGCCAAAGTGAAGTCAACGATGGAGAGTCGGCGAGACAGCGCCCAGGCTCTTATCGAAATGAAGGACAGCATTCAACCATTGCTGTTAGTACTTCCACCAGACGTGAAGAAAGTCAGAGCTGAGCACTCAAGATGGCTTCAGGAATATAAACGGTTCTTGACTCACCACGGTGAATATTTAGCACTGGTTACGGATGACCGGCGGCCTACAGTGCAGGTAGAGCTACAGCCTGAGCTCAGCAGTTTCCAGGACTTTAAGGACACACTAGATGAATGGCTAGTGTACCACACCAGCATACATGATGGGGACAGTGGGAGGTCAGTGAGGTCAGTGAGGATCAAGTGTCATTTGGACGCTCAAGTGATGCTCAGGAGGGCAGCGAGAGTCAGAACCCGTTGGTAGTGTCAACTGTGTCCGTAGCGCAACACCTAGTCAAGGAGATCAGGAAGCCCGCCTCTGACCTGGCTAAGTTTAAGGGACATCCCCTGGAGTACACGAGATTCATCCGCCAGTTTAAGGCTAGAGTTGTCGCCAACACAGTGGACGATGACGAACGGATGAACTACCTAGAGCAGTTTACCGAGGGAGAGCCACACCACATCGTGAATGGCTATAGCTGTCTCCCTGCTGATGTCGGCTACCCGGCTGCACTCACAGAAATGGAGAAACGGTATGGAGATGTGGATTTGCTGGCCAATGCTTACGTACAGAGGGCTCTTGGATGGCCAGAGATCAGACCCGATAACCCGTCTGGACTTGACGCCTTTGCTATTTTCCTGGTGGAGTGTAAAAATGCAGTACACTCCATAAATGCGGCAAAGGTTCTGGAGTATTCCGAGAACATCAAGCAACTGGTCTCCAAGCTCCCCTTCTATCTACACGATAGATGGCGAAATATAGTCATGAACAAGAAAGATAACACCGAGCCGGTGACCTTCACCTATCTGGTACACTTCGTCGAAAGAGAAGCCAGGAAGGCAACAGACCCAGTATATGGACGTGTTGCATTGGCAGGCAAGCCCAAGGAAGCTAAACATGTGGGAGGAGGAGGACGCCCTCAGCCATCGGTCAGAAAGATTGGGTGTGCTTCCGGAGCAGCTGAGTCTGTTGGTGTCAGTAAGCAGGAGAAGCAAGTCTACGCAGACTCGGGCACCAAGTTCGCAGCCGATATAGCAAGCTCAAAGCCATGTAGTTTCTGTCAGGGATCAGGACACGCAATGCAAGAGTGCCGAAAGCTCATAGCCAAGTCACTCGAAGACCGGTTGCAATTCCTGAAGTCTAAGGGACTTTGCTTTGGTTGCCTGAAGTATGGCCATCTGAGTAAACGATGCAGAGCCAAGGCCAAGTGCAAGGAGTGCAACGCCCTGCATCCCACAGTTCTTCACAAGGAAAGGGAACAACAAGAGAAAAAGGGAGAAGAGTCTCCAAAGCCCGAGACACCCGAGACCACCGACAGGGGGAAGTCATGTTCCACTTACATGGCTCCATGCAAGGACAGGGCTAGCTCTCACATGGGAGCCGGCGCGGGTCTTTGCACCATGGCCATCATACCAGTAAGGGTCAGGTCCCCAACTACCAATACCACAGTGGAGACCTATGCCTTCCTCGACCCGGGCAGCAACGTGACTTTCTGTACTGAGAACCTTGCACAGCAGCTTGGAGTAACTGGCAAGGCCACTTCCATGGAATTATGCACCATGGGACAGACTCAGAATTTCACCACACACCGTATCTCGGGGCTAGAGGTTTGTGGGCTGGACTCAGGTCCTGCTGTAAAGCTCCCTGTGGTCTACACCAGATCCGAGATGCCTGTCACCAGAGATCTCATGCCAACGCAAGAAGACATTGATGGGTTTGAACACCTCAGAGAGATTAAGCTTCCAGTTATTCAGGCCGAGGTGGGGATGCTGATAGGCAATAACGTCCCAGCCGCATATACACCACAAGAGCTGAAGACAGGTCCGTTACGTGAGCCTCATGGAGCCAGATCGGACCTTGGATGGATAATATGGGGCATGGTCAGAGACGGAGAGGAGCCGCGCCACCTTTCCAACCTTCAACTAGCTAGAGAAGAGGCAGGACAACTTCAGAAGTTGGAAGACATGGTCAGATCGTCCATAGACATTGACTTTCCAGAGCGACTAGTGGACAGTAAGAAGGAGCTTTCAGTTGAAGATAAGCAATTTGAGGAAATCATTGGAAGATCGTTGAAGCTGGTAGATGGTCACTATCAGTGTGACCTGCCATTTCGGGATCCAGCTTGCAAGCTAGAAGACAACAAGTGTCTTGCCATGGACCGTTTGATGTCCCTAAAGAAGAAACTCAGAAACAATCCGATCTTCCACCAAGAACTGAGGAGGCCTATCACCAAGCTATGCCTCTTGCTGGAAGCGGACTAATGTCGCCAGCTTAGACTTTAGAGCAGACTTTAACTCACATTTCATGAAGCAATGTTGGTTTTCTTAGGTTGAATTTGTATGCGCGTCTTAGTTGTGGTAATTGCTCCTGACCTTACGTCCCACAATTAGGGAGCCGGGATGTTTTGGG